GATTTCATTACAGTTCAGGTGATGAACAATTCAAACTGAGGCAGTTGCCTCCACGTAGAGTCACAGGGACGTTAGGAAGTATTTCTTCAGCATTATAGTAGCCAGGAAATGGAACAACCTGGACAGCGAAGTGGAAGAGGCAGGAGTCATACACAGCTTTAAGAAATGATACGATAACGTTCTCTAAGCCAGGAGAGTGAACGTAGTAGCATAGAGGCGGGACCAGGAGCTAAGACTCAACCCCTGTAACTACATACAGCACTGTATATACTACACATGTGGTAACCATGTGCGGTTATTATTACTAACACTTCGCTCATGGGAAAAAGCTAGACCCGTAAGAGCTACATAGCGCCTGGGAATGGTTGGCAGAGACGATGGAAGGGGGTGATAGCTCCAGTCCCCTGGATTAAGAACCTTTCATCGTTGTCAAGACTCCTCCCTGGGTGGGTTGCTCTGGTGGACGACAGTGTTGAAGGCTAACAGTAAACAAAATATTTATATAAAAAGACACGACTGTAAACAAAACATGGCACGGGTGGGGACTGAACTCGCGGCAAGAGAGTTGTAAAACCCCAGGCCAGTGCCTAAGTCACTGAGCCAGCTGGCCCAGCGGTTTAGCTGCGAGATAAATAAATAACTTCCCTAGTTTGCGAATTAAGCATAATAATAATAATAATAATAATAATAATAATAATAATAATATAGAGGATATAGTTTTACTACATCAGTATATCACGACCTAAATAGTTGAGTACATCAGCGGCGTCACCTTCATCACTGGCTGTGTCCACACACACACACACACACAAGTACATCAGCGGCGTCACCTTCATCACTGGCTGTGTCCACACACACACACACAAGTACATCAGCGGCGTCACCTTCATCACTGGCTGTGTCCACACACACACACACAAGTACATCAGCGGCGTCACCTTCATCACTGGCTGTGTCCCACACACACACACACAAGTACATCAGCGGGGTCACCTTCATCACTGGCTGTGTCCAAAAACACACCACCAAGTACATCAGGGGCGTCACCTTCATCACTGGCTGTGTCCACACCACACACACACACAAGTACATCAGCGGCGTCACCTTCATCACTGGCTGTGTCCACACACACACACACAAGTACATCAGCGGCGTCACCTTCATCACTGGCTGTGTCCACACACACACACACACAAGTACATCAGCGGCGTCACCTTCATCACTGGCTGTGTCCACACACACACACCACACAAGTACATCAGCGGCGGGGTTTACCTTCAAACACATGGCTGTGTCCACACACACACACACACAAGTACATCAGCGGCGTCACCTTCATCACTGGCTGTGTCCACACACACACACACACAAGTACATCAGCGGCGTCACCTTCATCACTGGCTGTGTCCACACACACACCACACACAAAGTACATCACGGCGCACCTTCATCACGGCGTGCCCACACACAACACACAAATACATCAGCGGCGTCACCTTCCACTGGCTTGTCCCACCACACCACCAATATCACGGCGTCACCTTTACGGCTTTGCCCACCATACCACACAAGTACATCAGCGGGTCACCTTCATCAGGCGTGTCCACACACACACACACACAAGTCATCAGCGGCGTCACTTTTCCACGGCTTTCCCCAAAAACATACACACACAAGTCATCACGGCGTCCCTTTATCACGGCGTGTCCACACACCACACACAAAAGTACATCAGCGGCGCCCACCTTCATCAGGTGTGTCCACAACCACACACACACACCACACAACACACAACACACACAACAACACACACACACACACACACACCACACACACACACCCCCAAAAGTACTCAGGGGGCGTCACCTTTTCATCCGGCTGTTACACCCACACACCCCAAACACACACACACACACACACAACACACAACACAAGACATCAGGGGGCGTCACCTTCATCCTGGGTGTCCACACACACACCACACACACAAGACATCAGGGCGTCACCTTCATCAGGGGCTGTGTCCCACACCCAAGTACTCAGGGGGTCACCTTATCACGGGTTTGTGTCCACACACACACACACAAGTAACACGGCGTCACCTTCATCACTGGCTGTGTCCACCAACACAAAAAAGTACACAGGGGCGTCACCTTCATCACGGGCGTGTCCCAACACAACACCACAAGTACATCAGGGCGTCCCCTTTCATCACGGGCTCTGTCCACAACACACAACAAAATCACGGCGCCCCTTCATACGGGCTGTGTCCACACACACAAAACCAATACATCAGCGGCTCACCTTCATCACTGGCTGTGCCCACACACACACACAAAAAGTACATCAGCGGCTCACCTTATCAGGGCTGTGTCCACACAACCACACAAGTACACGGGGGTCACCTTCTCACAGGCTGTGCCACACACCAAAAAGTACATCAGCGGCTCACCTTCATCAGGCTGTTCCCCACACACACCAAGTACATAAAGGGCGCCCACCTTCATCACGGGCTGGTCCACACACACAAACCCCAAGACATCAGCGGCGTCACCTTCACACTGGCTGTTCCACACCCCAACACACACAAAAAAATCGGGCGGCGTCACCTTCTCACTGGGTGTCCACCACACACACCACAAAAGTAATCGCGGGGTCACCTTCATCACTGGCTTGCCCACACACACACACAAGTACATCACGGCGTCCCCTTTTCATCATTTGGGCTGTGCCCCACAACCCACCACACAAGTACATCAGGGGGCCGTCCCCTTTATCACTGGCTGTGCCACAACACACACACAACAAGTACATCAGGGGCGTAACCTTCTCACGGCTGTGTCCACCACACACACCACAAGTACATCAGCGGCGTCACCTTCATCACTGGCTTGTCCACACACACCCACAAACACACACACAAGTAATCACGGCGTCACCTCATCCCCGGGCTGTGCCCACACACCACACCAAAACCACACACACACCACCCCAACACACCAATACTCGCGGGTCACCTTCATCACCGGCTGTTCCACACACACACACACACACACACACACACACACACACACACACACCACGGGTCCACGGGGGCGGCCCTAGGACCATGCTATTTTTGGTATATGTGAACGACATGATGGAAGGGTTAGACTCAGAAGTGCCCTGTTTGCAGATGATGTGAAAGTTAATGAGAGAATAAAATCTGATGAGGACCAGGCAGGAACTTCAAAGAGACCTGGACAGACTGGACACCTGGTCCCAGCAAATGGCTTCTCGAATTTTAATCCTGCCCAAATGCAAAAGTCATGAAGATGGGGGAGGTGCACAGAAGACCACAGACAGAGATAGGCCTAGGTGGTCCCGCCAAAGACTGCAAAACCTCACTCAAAGGAGATAGATCTTGGGGTGAGTATAACACCGAGCATGCTCCGAAGCACACAGCAATCAGATAACTGCTGCAGCATATGGGCGCCTGCAAAACCTGAGAACAGCATTCCGATATCTTAAAAAGGAAATCAAGACAATTACTGTTCACCGTGAAAGTCATGCCCTTACTGGAGTAGCAGCACCTGTTTGGAACCCCGCACTTGATAAAGCACGTCAGCAACTAGAGAAAGTACAAAGGTTGCGAAAGGTTAGTTTCCAGAGCTAAGGGAATGTCCTATGAGGAAGTGATTAAAGGGAAATCGGCTGACAACCCACTGGAGGACAGGAGGGTCGGGGAGACATGATAACGACATATAAAATACTGCGTGGAATAGACAAGGTTGACAAAGACAAGGAGTTCCAGGGAGGGGACACAGAAACAAAGGCCACAATTGAAGTTGAAGACACAAAATGAGTCAGAGAGATAGTAGGAAGTAATTTCTTCAGTCATAGAGTTGTAAGGCAGTGAATAAGCCTAAAATGAAACGTAATTGAGGCAGGAACCATACACAGTTTTAAGACGAGGTTTGATAAAGCGCATGGAGCGGGGGAGAGAGGGGCCTAGAGATAGCAACCGTGCAGAGGCGGGGCCAGGAGCTAGGACCCGACCCCTGCAACCAAATAGTGAGTACAAATAGGGAGTACACACACACACACACACACGACAAGTACATCAGCGGCGTCACCTTCCAATCACGGCTGGTGTCCACACACACTCACACACAAGACATCACGGCTGTCACCTTCATCACTGGCTGTGTCCCCACAACACACACACACAAGTACATCAGCGGCGTCACCTTCATCACTGGCTGTGTCCACACACACACACACACAGTACATCAGCGGCGTCACCTTCATCACTGGCTGTGTCCACACACACACACACAAGTACATCAGCGGCGTCAACCTTCATCACGCTGTTGTCCACACACACAACGTCACATGCATCAAGTACATCAGCGGCGTCACCTTCATCACTGGCTGTGTCCACACACACACACATCACTATCTTAACAAATTACCTTTATTGTAGCTGAAGAAAAATCCCGCATGCTGTGTGTAAATACTTTTAGACTTAGTTACAACTTATCAGTTGTGCCGCAAGTCTGAGACACAGTCAATGTATCATCGTCTCAACACTGTTCTTACTCTCCTAGACGGAGCGCCTTTACCACCTTTGTCTCCCCTGAAGGAAGGTTCCTTGACGCTGGCGAAGGGCTCTTGATCCAGGAAATTGGATCCATGCTCCAGTTCCCTGACTTAGAGCCTGAATACCTTCCATCCTTCCCCCCCACAGGCGCCGTATAATCCCTACGGGTTTAGCGCTCCCCCATGATTACATTAATAATAACATACCACCTTCAATGGTCTGTGGAAGCACCGTCTTCAAGAAACGAAACTATTATTCCCAAAGGACTACGTGGTATCAAATTCTTCGTTAGTTTCTTTAACATTACGCAGCCCATACCCACGGTGTGGGTGGTAGTCAAAAGATTACAGAGGTATATAATGGGTCCAGGGACTGGACCCCAAAGTTTTGATAGTTGAACTAGTTTAGAGTGGTACTGTTTACATGTTTATATCCGGTCCCAATCGTAATAAGTTATTTATACAGACATGAATTACGTCACACAGGAGAAAAAAAAAGTAAGTGATAATGCGTTATTTACAGTGGGCAAAGTCAGGGTACTTTTTCCAGAATGGTTTGTAATATACCACTGTAGATAAAATACTTTGACATTTCTCGAACATTTCGGAGTTGTCTCTGAATTCATTAATTTTATCGCATTCCAATACATAATGAAGCAAGGTGTGATAATTGTCAATCTGGTAAAATTTACATTTAGTCTTAGTCTACATCTGATTTTGGTGATTTAACCTCCCAAAAATACTTATAACCCAGCCGGAGCCGGGCACTAGTGGCTAGGGATCATGATCTTCCTGGAGGGATCAGTGCCACACGGCTGAGTCTGCCACTGGGCAGTATAACCCACCCACTTCTTCACAACTGAAACATAATAAGCAAAAATATTATTATTATATTTATATAAAACGCCCTAAATTCATATGGGATATCTAGCTACAGTATAACCATATATAAATATAGAGTGGGGACTCACCTCGCAAGCTACCATGAAGGACAGGACAGGTAGCGTGACGGGTAAGGAAGTCATGTTTCGATGCAGACAGTAGATTTCCACCAGAGCAGTGCCGCCCTCTCCACCACGCCCACGCCCACGCCCACCCACGGAAACACTGTCCGCCCACCTGATAAGTAGAAAACAACACTCAATCACGGTTCTCCCACCTGCAGAGTAAACATAGCAGTCACTTACACTTAGCTTAGGTTTCACGGCCAGTCGACTGCACTGGAGTCGTTAAGACTGTTTTATTTGTAATATACTACTTGTAATATACATGAATATGTCAATCCTTTAAACAGAGATATGTCAAGACCACACTGGTGGGCCATCACCACTGAGATACACAGACCTGGTCGTCAAGACCACACTGGTGGACCATCACCACTGAGATACACAGATCTGGTCGTCAAGACCACACTGGTGGACCATCACCACTGAGATACACAGACCTGGTCGTCAAGACCACACTGGTGGACCATCACCACTGAGATACACAGACCTGGTCGTCCAAGCCACACTGAGTGGGCCATCCACCATGAAGATACACAATCTGGTCGTCAAGACCACACTGGTGGACCATCACCACTGAGATACACAGATCTGGTCGTCAAGACCACACTGGTGGACCATCACCACTGAGATACACAGACCTGGTCGTCAAGACCACACTGGTGGGCCAGCATTAAGCTTCACAGACCTGGTCGTCATGACTTCAAAAACGGGGAAAAAAAAAAAGTTTACGACCCAAGCAAAAAAATATCTGTTTCCCATCAAGCGTACATCCAATACAGACCTGCCGTGGGCGCCTGCAGGAAAGTTAGCACACTGGCCATCCTCTCCCCGACGTGTAGGTCGGGAGGGCTTCTGACCGGGCCGTAGGTGTCTCTATGGGCCTCGTAGCTCCCTCCCAGCCCATACTCTGCCACCTAGGAAAGACAGCAAGAATTTATTGAGTAAGACACGTGTGCACTTGGGTATCTTCATTTGTAGAAAAGTAACTAAGTAGTGCCCTCGCCTTCACTATACAACCATCGAGCGGCCATGTAGAAGCAGTACAGTAAGATATGTTGTATAGATTTTGCTCCTTTATGTATTATAGTGTCCCGTTGCTCTCGGATCTTCACCTCTTCAAGGGGGGCTCCTTGGCGTGGTGAAGAGGCTCTTGGTCTGAGGAATTAGCCCTGTCGGTCTTCTTCCTCAGACCGAACCTAATTACCCCCCATTCTCCCCTCCCCTATCCCATCCTCCCCAATCCCCCCCCCTTTTCCATTCCTCCTCCTCCCCTCACCCCCTCCCTATTTGCCCTTCCTCTTTTTAGCCTTCGTGATTTCTCCTTCTCGCCACAGGCGTGCTAGTTCCTAGGTAGGGAAAGGACAAAAACCCCCGGGTCGATCCCATTCAGTTTAGTTTCTTGGCTGTGGCGTAGTTTGCCCGGAATCTGGATTGCTAGGGATGTCCCGATCCCCTCCGTATCCCGAGTAGCATTGGGTGTCTTTTTGGGCGAACGGGTGTAATCTCTCTGGGGAAGCCACCTATCCGTTTCGTCGGATTCCGGGGGTGGTGGCTGAAGTTTGTATGCTTTGTGGTCGGATATCCGCCGCCCTCGTCATTTGTCCACCGAGTAGCTCGGCAGATTGAGTTGCAATCCCGGATTGCTGGTTTTACTGGCATGAAGGGTAGGGTATGCACGGGTTCCCATGCTGCAGACTGCGCTCTAGCGGTGTCAGAGTCCTCTTGGGCGCGGAGGGAATTTTCCGGCCCTTTCATTCCTCCTGGGAACTATTCCTCCCCGCCTCCCCCCTTTTTTTTATTCTTTTTTTTTGTTTTTATTTTCTTTTCTCTTCTTTCTTTTTTTTTCTTAAAAACAAAAAGCAAAGGGAGTAAACCAACGCATGGCAGCCCTAGGTCCATGAAACCACTACCCCCCGGGTCCTCCTTCTTTTTTGGGAATACCGCACTCCCATTCATGACTCTGACCCTGCCTTGTGTTTAAAGAACCACTCTTTCGACACATCCTGATGCCCTGTAACTCTTGCTGGTGCTGTTTCCTCACCCGCTTCAGGTACCGGGGTACTTCGACTGACATCCTTCGATTGTGTCTGAACTTCCGCTCATCCTTTGACTATGCTTCCGGCTTCTTTCTCCCTCTACGTACGGCAATTTTTCGAATCGCCCACCCATTTCAATGCAGGAACCAACTCCGGTCCTACTCCTAAACGCCAACGTCAAACTCCTGATGGATGCTCAGCGTTACCTTCCCATTCTACCCCCTTTTACCCCCTCGGGAAACGACCGACACGTCCAGTCACTCCCTCTCCACGCTCCAGTTTTTCGGACCACACAATGGACTAAATTCTTTACTTTAAGACCAACATCTTCTTCTGCCTACCTTTCTGACCATAGTATGCCAAAGGCGCTCTGCGTCATGTGGCAGAGATATTTCATTTCACGCTCTCAAGAGCGGTACGCGCATCCGTCACTGTCCAGAAATGCTACCCATGCTCAGTGATCTTCTCCTCCTTTCGAATATCGATACTACTCCTATCACTATGAAAAACATCTTTCTCATCAATTCTTTGTAGTGGTACGCCATTCTGCCCATACCAAGTCCCAACAGAATTTCCAGTCATGTGGCAATGACATTTTTAACAGCTGGAACTCCAGGATCTCCCAATCCTCAAAGTAGACACTTATGTCCTCTTCCTTGCCCCGGGGCGGAGACGTTTACCCTTAGCAATTGGCTCGTTTAAAACTTTTTACCAGCCGAGAACTGCCCGTCTCGTACTATGTCGCGGGACATCGGTTACAAGTTCGAAAGGTGATACCTACACCGCATACAATTAGAATTGCTGGCGTTTTTGGTCACCCAGCGAAAATTGCAGATCTTATGCCGAATGCCCATCCCTGTGGTGCCGACAACCATTCCTATACATCTTGCACAACCTCCATCTTGCCTTAATGTAATGAAGCTCACCCTTCGTACTCCCAGCCGTTGCCAGTTCTACTTAAATGAACGTGAAATCCGTTTGCCTCAAAGAGGCAGAAGGTCTCCCTTATGCTATGGCAGTTACTCATCTCCGCCTCCAAGGGAGACACCCCGTGTTTCTTATTCTCGTGTTTCCAAAACAATCCCCCCACTTCTGGGTCCCATCTTCTGCAGCCTCCTCTGTTGTTACCCGTTATCTCCATACCATTACGGCATCTAATCCTTTGCTGTCCTTGGCTCTGACGTCCCGACTACAACTCGTCTGTTCTCACATCTTTGGCGTCTCCTCCAAGCCCCAGGATCGACAAGACCTCGGACGACACCTAATACCAATCGCCCCTCTACTCCAGAAGTTCCAAAAAAATCCACATTGCTCAAATCGTCTTTGCCCCTTCCTTCCACTTCTTCCACCTCCACACGTTTACCTTTCCAGTCTCTGTATCCTAGGTTCTTACCCCTCTCTCTGGCTCTATTACAAGTGTGGAGATTCACACCCTCCTCCTCGTACTATCCTTCCATCCACCCCGTCCCCTCCCAAGTTTCTCCCCTCTTCTGTCACTCTCCCCAGGTTTCTACCTCTTCTGTCCCCCCCCCACACTTCCACTCCAGTCCCTTACACTTTTTCCCTCCCCCTCTACTTTGGTACATCCATTACTGTCCCCAATCTTTACTCACCCTTCCCCTCCTATCTCCAATATGGTTTCCCATACATCTTTGAATTCAGAAACACTTGAAGCCATTTCAGAATATATTGCAGAGATTAAACCTCAATGGACACTGATTCACTTCCCTGTTTCCTTTCTCTTCCCTCTCCTCCATCTTCACAACCCCCATTCTTTCGCAACGCTCCGTTCCCTTCGCTACTTAACATCTTCCAAATGCCACCACACCGTTGACTTTCTAAACTCCTCCAGTCCGTAGGTGCCTTTACGCTACAGATTCCTGATATTTTCTTCATCGCCAATCATGGCCTATTTAAGTGGAATATCCGCGGCCGTCAGGGGTAATCGGGGGAGCTTCAGATGTTGCTTTCCGGTTTTCCCTGTTGGTGCTTGCTTACAAGAACCAAAATTACACTACGCTGGGATGTTTTCCAACCTATCTCAGGCTATAATTTATTGTATTCTTTTCTTCGGATCCTTTCTTTCTCAGATGGACTTTAATGAAAGTGCCCTTCATCTACGCAATGATATTCCGTACTGTCAACTAGTGTCCAGACCTCGCTGCATACACTGCAGCCCGATCCCACTTGAATAAGAGGTTTTACAATATGTTCTATTATATCTCTCTCGCTTCTCGAGCATTTTCTATTTCCCAACTTGTGCCTTTCCTTGCATTCGATCCTTACCACCAACCACTTCCTGTTACTTGGGATTTTAAATGCCCACCATTTCCTCTGGGGGGGTCTCATTGTGACTCACGTGGCATTTCAGGTTTGGAGGCTTTTCTTGCCTCTCACCACCCCTACCAAGTTTTAAATACGGGTACTCTCACCCATTTTGATCCTCGTACACAACTCTCTCTTGCCATCGATCTATCAGTCTGCTCTTCCTCCACTGCACTAGACATCACCTTGGTCTGTTCTACCAGACTTACATGACAGCGATCCTTTTCCGATCATTCTTACTTCTCCTTCCTATTCACCACCTCCCTAGCCCTCGCTGGCAATTTGATCGGGCAAATTGGATCTTTACCACAACCTCACGCTTTTAAGTGAGGTTCCTCTTCATCCTCCAATGATGAGCTCCTACACATCTTCTCGACATCAGTTATATAAATTATATACCGCGGCTCCTTCTCTTCTATAACCCCAAACCTCAGGCAGGCATTCTCAGAAGTGCGTGCCTGGGTGGTCTCCTGCTTGTGCTCGTGCAGTACGGTTTGAAAACGTGCTGCATGGGGCAGGTACCGGTACAATAAACCGCTTGAGAGACTTGTGATTTTTAAGCAGAACGTGCGATCGCTCGCCGTGTCATCCGTGAAGCTAAACTCACTTGTTGCGAGACTATTTTCCAACATCACCATCGCTTCTTCTATGAGTGCATCCTGGAAAAAAAGTGAGGAAATTGAGTGGTAATACTCTCCTGACCCGTCTCCTTGTTCTACGGGCACTGGTGTTGATATAGCAAACCCTCTCGACGTTGCCATTGAACTTGGCACACATCTGGTCCGTTTAAAATTCCCGAGGCTCCCATCTATGCCCCTCGTTTCTTTCCCTCAAAGAGTCCTGCCCAGAGAGTTAGTACCCTTGGACTTTTCTTCTCAACGAGAAGAACAGTATAAATGTGCCTTTTACACTTCAAGAATGGAGGCAACCTCTCGAAGCTTGCCGATCACGGCACTGGGCCAAAACATTCATATTCGGATTTACAACATTTACATCGGTTCCAGCCCTGTATCATCTTACTCCTCTTCAATCTTATTTGGGCACATAGGAGTCTTTCCCCAGCGTGGAAATCTGCCATGTTCTCCCTTTCCGCAAACCGGGTACACAGGGACAAGATGCCTCCCACTATCGCCCCAGCCTCTTACAAGTGCAGTTTGCAAATTGATGGAACGCCTCGTAAATAGACGTTTAAATGTTGTATTTAGAGACTCACACGTTCTTTTCCGCTAGTCAATATTGCTTTCCAGTAAGTTCTTTCCTAACCATAGACCCCTTACTAACGCTTGGAATACTATGTTTCGAATGCCTTTGCGATAATCACTCAGTTTTATTGCCATATTTTTTGACCTTGAGAAAGGCTATGACACAACTTGGGGTATAATATTTTTGGCCCAGGCCCATGTCCTAGGCCTCCGAGGCAATCTACCATCCTTCCTTAAGACTTTTTAACTGACAGACATTTCCGTGTTCGAGTCAATAATGTTCTTTCCCCGGACGTTCGTCCAAAGCTGAAATGGTGTCCCTAGGGTATGTGATTCTAGCACAACACTTTT